ACTCTTTCTTCCCCCCCCCACGTCCTGTGTGTAATTTGGTTTTGTGATTGTCAGATCACCTCTGAAGGTGACATTTCTCTCCTGAGTCTGCAACGTGGCAAATGTATTCAAACTTGTGCCTTGAAAAAGAAACTCTGGCCTGGCTCTGATGCTTCTTCTGCCTCTTTGCCCTAGAGTCCCCTGGTGGCCTTTTGGCTCTCCTCCTTCAAACCTGCATGCTGCCCAGAAAGAAACAGGACTGAGAGCCTCATCAAAGAAGAGGTGTTGGTATCTAGAAGGGCTTGTCAAAATGCCCTATCCTGGAAAAGGAGAAGTTGAAATTGCCAGCTGAGGAGTGGGACAAAGTGGTTAATTTTTTTCTTACCTTGCCTGGAGTTTTCTGCTCCCCCTCCCACCCCGAGCTGCTGAGCACCCTTCAGCAGCACGTGAGGCAGCGTGACTAACATCTGTCACAGACACTTGATTTCTCTTATCTCCTTCCCTTAGGAGGAGGCAAAGTCAGAAATACGGGTGTGCATCTCTGGAGTGCAGCTGATCTCCTCGCTCTCCCAGATCTCTGTTGCCACCCCCTTTACCCATCCTGCCTGCCCTTGCTCCTTCTCTGCACCAAGGAGGAGTGTCCTGGCTGCCAGCACAGGTTTCTCCCTGCTGAGGTGTGCCCATATCCCACAGGAATGTGCTTAGGGCTTCTGGCATTTCATAACAACTACCAGCTGAGATCCTCAGGCCCAGTGGCTGCTTCCAGCCCAGCTCGTTTCTTTAGACAATTCAGCTCTGGTGCAGTCTCCATCTGGACAAGTTCCTGTGGTTCAGAGCCCTGCCATCCCAGGGCTCGAGCTGTGCCAGGAGGGGCAGCCACCCTGCACCAGCCAGGGGACCCACCCCGTTACACTGCCAGCCCGGGCTGGTAGCTGGAAAGGGAGTGACTGAGAGAGGTTTATGGTTGTGCAGCAAGAAAATAAGCCAGCAGCAATGGAAAAACAGCTGCAGGCGGTACCAGAGCCCCGCTGGGGGCGGTAGGTGGAGGTTAGTGGGGCCTCCCTCCTGGGAGCAGGAGCATGCAAGTAGCACAGCTGGGTGCTCACCTCCTGCTGAGGTCACCAACTCCTGACAAGCTCAGAAGAGAAAATGTGTGGAGAAAGCCAGCTGAGCCCAAAGCTGCTACAGCAGTTTCTCTCTCACAACCCTTTTAACAAGCTCTTCTGCACAGCTTTGACCCAGGAGGGTGGCAGGCACACACCTCCCCGCTGGCTGCCTGCTCCATCCCCCATCCTTCTTCCCTCCTCCACAGTCACATCTGACTGTTCCAACCCAGCTCTTCCCTGCTTTTTCAGCTTGCCTTATTTCTTTCTCTCCCCTTCCTCAGCACCCTAACACAAGGCAACCACCCTGGACCTTCAATAATGACTACAGACCATCTGCTTATGCTGCCATCGTGCTTGAACACCTTCTGTCTGCTGCATCTGTGTAAACTGCTGTGCTGTTCACAGGGGCTGGCCCATTCATCTAGGTGGGACTTTGTTTCATGGCATCCTGCTTAGCTGGCTTCTAGGGCTGGGAGACCTGGCCTTCAGTAAGTTGCCTGCAGTAGTACCTGAATTATGGGGTGGTCCCTGAGCAGTGGGCAGGGATGGACAGATGGGCTTGAAAGGTGTGATGATGTAGGATGTCAGGATGGTGGCTGTTCATTCTTGCCCACATTTTCATCTACCTGTGGGACAACACTAAGTTTATCTTGAAGCTGGTATTGTATCTCATGAGTACATTTCTCAGCAAGGCATGTTGTCCTCACTCTTTCAGGGAACTGGTATCTCTTTGGCAATCAGCTGATTACATTCCCTGGCAGCACACAGCAGAGAGCATTTCAGCACGTCATTCCTGGGTTGTTGTTTTTTTCCCACTGCATAGAAATAAATTGCATCTT